ACCAGACTAAACACCTTGTCTTTTATCAGTGGTCTGACGCGTCCCAACATAAACAATTTCTGTTTCATTCCAGCTGATGCGACGGAGATTCGTAAGATTATCCTTTCCATTAAATCAAAAGCTGTGGGTTGTGACTCCTTATCCCGAGATATGATCACATATATCCTAGACCACGTGCTGTCACCGATTACTCATATTATAAATTTCTCCATGTTCTCCGGTGTATTTCCAGCAGTTTGGCGTAAAGCTTTTGTTCGACCCTTACCTAAGATTAGTACTCCCACTCTGCCGACCCACTTCCGTCCTATCTCAATCCTTCCCTTCCTATCTAAGGTGCTGGAGGCTTGTGTCCATAAACAATTGTCTCACTTTGTTTACAATCATAGCTTAATAAGCCCGTTGCAATCTGGGTTTCGACCTGGCCACAGCACTATAACTTCCCTCCTTAAAGTGACTGGCGATGTTAGGGCTGGTATGGAGGATACCAAAGTAACACTTTTGGTATTGGTTGATTTTTCGAACGCGTTTAATATGGTCAGTCACGATATCCTTTTGGCAATCCTATCCCATCTTGCGATCTCTGGCAAATCACTGGAATGGTTCTCTTCATACCTTCGGGAGCGTCAGCAGTCTGTCCAGTATGATGAGAAGTTCTCTGACTGGTGTGACTTGACGGCAGGCGTTCCTCAGGGCGGCATTCTTTCTCCACTTCTTTTCTCTATTTTTATCAACCTTATCACTCCTGAACTTCAGTGTGCGTACCATTTGTATGCGGACGACTTGCAGCTGTACCGTCAATCTGGGGTGGACGATCTGCCCAGTGCTATCAGTAAACTTAATAGTGATCTAACAGCTGTTCAAAATTGGTCGGAGAGGTTTGGCATAGCTGTAAACCCAAACAAGTGCCAGGCCATCATCATAGGTAGCTCTCGGAATCTTGGATCGATTGACGGTGCAGCACTGCCTCCTATCTCGTATAATGGTGTGACTGTCCCGTTCAGTCGGGACGTGAAGGATTTGGGCCTGATTATTGATAGCACATTGAGCTGGCGTGCTCAGGTCGCAAGTGTTTGCCAAAGGGTGACTGGATCGTTGCGGGCTCTGTATCGTCTGAGGAACTTTCTTCCGTCCTCTGTGAAGACGCAGCTTGTGCAGACCTTGATTTTCCCGATTATTGATTACGCTGATGTCTGTTACTACGACCTGAATGCAGATCTACTCAACAAGTTAGACCGACTTCTAAATAACTGCATTCGATTCGTTTTCAACTTACGTAAATATGATCATATTTCTGCACATAGGATGCAACTGAAGTGGCTGCCCATACGCTTGCGCAGGCAGCAGAGGGCACTAACCACTTTATTCTCTTATCTTGACTCTCCTTCTTCACCTACTTACCTTGCTTCTTACTTCCAATATACGTGCGCAAACCACACAAAATTTCTTCGTTCGTCTCAAAATCGACATCTTCAATGTATCTCTCATCGCACTGACTTCTTTCATTCTTCCTTTTTCATTCAAGCTGTTATTTTGTGGAATGCGTTGCCCAAGGAGATCAGAATGGCAACAAGTCGCAATTCCTTTAAATTTAAAGTCCGTGAGCATTTACTTAAGCATTGGCAGACTCAAAACAATTGAGGAAACTATTCTGACAACGTTTTTTTTTTATATATATATATATAATATAATAATATTGTAGTATTTATGCAGTAGGTATAAGTATTTGTTTAGTAGTATATATTATATGGTATGTATATGTCTATACTGATTTATAAAATATTGTATTAATATATTTATTCTATAGGTTATTTATGTGTGTAGTATACATATTACATAACTCTTTTTTTATTTTCTCAATTGTGTTCTGGCTTCGCATCAACCACTTTATTTCTCTGCACTTCCCTATGGTTGACTGTAAGAGAATGCCTTAAGGCATTAAGTCCGCCATTCACTGATGTATTTTGTGAAGAAGAAATAAATAAATAAATAAAAATATTCTACGGTAATTAATGTTGCCAGAATTGATTCAGTCTCGTAGGTGATAGCGTGATAATATGTAGACTATATGTTGTCCCGACTTGTTAGTAATATTCATGCAAAATTTGAAGTAAATCCATGCTGTTCTTGCTGCTCTTTGAGATCATTCCGGACATACATACAGACAAACAGACAAGAATTCTAAAAGCCATATTTTTGGCTTCGGTATCGATTGTAGCCCGGAGGTTTAAGACGCCCGCTTCTCATGCATGAAGGTGAGGGTTCGAAACCTACCAACGGCAAGTACCAATGTGACTTTTTCCGAGTTATATGTACTTTCTAAGATTATTCAGACACTACTGACAAACGGTGAAAGAAAACATCGTGAGGAAACCTGGGCTTATAATTTCTAATTATAAGTTTGTTATCGCCAACCCGCATTGAGCAAGCGTGGTGATTAATGCTCAAACCTTCTCCGTGTGAGAAGAGGCTTTGCTCTGCAGTGGGCATTTATAGGCTGTTGATGACGATCGACTGTAGATCACGGTCCGAGTATTCTTTTTAAAAAATACTTAATGTACAGTTTTGACTTTTCTACGATTTTATTATATGTATGTATATAGATAGAAGTCACTCAGTATTAATGTCTATGAACATTATGAACTCACCCAAATACCCCGACAGCAACGGCAGCTTCTCTAAGAGCTCTCTCCTGGTCCATGTCTCTCAGAGCTTCAGGTCTGATGGTGGCTGTGTTTCGGGGCTGCCGCTCGTTCTGTACCGCTGTGGAAGAAATGTAGTATTAGTTTAATTGCATCTTGTCAAATCTAATAAGTTTGTAACACACTTGTCCATATCCTTGCAAGAGTGGTGTTAAGGCCGAATGGCCTATAAAGGATTACACGTTATCTGTGGAAGAGCCATGTTTCGGCAGGCTCGACCGGAGTGATACCACGGCCTCAAAGAAAACCGACGTGGAACAATGCTTGCGTTGTGTTTCGTCGTGTGAGTGAGGCTACCGGAGGCCTAATTACCGCCCAATTAATAAATGAAAAATTTGGTGGCCCGGAGGCTTAAAACATTAAGACACTCTCATGTATGAGGAGCGGGTTTGAAACCAATCAACAGCAAGTACCAATATACATTTTTCCGAGTTATATGTACATTTTAAGATTATTTAGATACCACTGACAAACTGTGAAGGAAAACATCGTGAGGAAACCTAAGCTTAGTTTGTAATTGCCAACCCGTATTGAGCAAGCATGACGATTAATACTCAAACCTTCTCCGTGTGAGAAAAGCCTTTGGTCAGTAGTGGTCACTAATAGGTCGTTGATGTTGTTGCGATTTTGAAATGAAAACCGAATAACAAATTCCTCAACACAACGAATATGCAAAAACCTCATGATCTAAAGTTTCATTTGCGAGCAAACGACCAATAAGTTAGTCCCAAGTACCTATCATTTGCCTACACCACAAAAGCCTCACAGATGCATATCCTAAGTATATACCTCCATACAATACGTTATGATTGATAGCGGGGTACAGCGAGCAGAGATACGTGTGCTCTGTAAAAATAAAACTCTTTTACAACACTCGCCAGTCGCCCCTTTGTGTCATAGGGTTGGCACGATGACAAAATATTAAGTTGCAAGTATTTTTAACCGACTTCAAAACAGGAAGGAGGTTCGACATGTACTTATGTAAGTATTTATGATTGTGCGCGATTATCTCGCCATTGGCTATTACACCCAGACCTAGAATAGGCTCAGCAATAGGCCCACCCCCTATTACATGACTCATAACATAAATAGTGGACCGCGGGTGTTACATTGTACAGTGGCATTAAGTGCTGTAATGTGCATCTCTGCTGCTCTGCATACCCCTTCGGGGATAAAAGGCGTGATGTTATGTTATGTAATTATATTATGACTTTTGTGACTTGAAATTGAATTTGTATGTATCTATAGTTTGGAATATTTTAATAATGTATTGAGATTAAATCTGACTACCGAATTGTGTTTTAAACTGTCACACACCGCGCGGTCACCGGTGACCGCAACCTATTGTTCTTTAACTCGTTGAGTACCGTCATTATAGACACAATTATAGAACAATAGGTTGCGGTCACCGGTGACCGCTTGGTGTTTGACAGTTTAATTATGTCTATAATGACGGTACTCGACGAGTTAAATTCTGATTTGTATTTTATTATTGTATGCCTCAAGGGCGGGACATAGCTGAACTTATTTTAATTATTTAAGACCTGTATTTATGATGCATACAGTCCACAATAAAGACGATTTGATTTGATTTGGTTGTATAAATTACCATATGAAAATTGTAAAAAAAGTATTGGCAACCCTATAGCACCTAGTCAATACATACGATAGTGGTCTAGTAACTTTCCGGGTGGGGCAAAGTTGACTGCTTGGCTGTGCATAACAGGTCGATGTTTCGATGCCTGTACAAAAAAAATCTTTGTGTGATCCAAGTCATTATTCTAGGTCTGGGTATAATATGTGTATTTGTATTGAATTTGTAGGTTGGTAGTCATACCCACTACATATATCAGTAGGTATTTTGATATCAAAACCTATCCTAATAATAATCGCGGGACGATCTCCGGCCACGAGCATGGGTGGTTCACCGTGTGGTGGTTCACCAACTAGACCCGAGCGTACGGAGCGTCGCGTTCCGCGCGCACCTCAAAGAGCCATCAGACCACCACGGATGGAGCCCAACAGGGCTGATGCCGATTCGGAGTAGCGGAGAACCTCACGGGGTTACCGGGGCTCCGGCTCGACATGCAGGAGAATGAACGGGGTGGTTTTTAGTCAGTAAGAGTCTGACACTCCCTCCCGCCTCACCCAGGCTGTAGTAGTCATTCGATTCTTTTCCCCCCTTAAAAAAGTCCTAATAATAATACTTATTACTCATATTCAATAGATCCCAAGATCGTTGAAACAATAACTCTGCAATTAAACTGACTTTTAAATATATATAATTGTATATGTAGAACCACGATCCAACTTTAAAACTATACATTGCACACCTCTGCTGATTCACATTCTACACAAAGCTTGAAGTTACAAACAACCGCTGCAACTAATAGACAGACATTTGAACACGAATTAATGCTCACACATACATACACACACACCCACACTATCACACCTACACCCCACTACACTTACACTATAAATCAAATCGCCCCTCCCACATCCGGCCGCAGCCATCTTTGAGATCTCACTTCCGGTGTTGCGAGAAAGCAGGATGGATATACCATAGTTTTATATGTGAGTGAAAGAGATGGATAGATGTTTCTGATTTTTGATTGATTCTCGAATTTGTATAGAGCTTTGTGGAGCTTTCGCGAATGGGATCATTGGGTCGGATTTATATTCTTTTTTTGTTTTAAATATTGTTTTGTGGATTGGGTTTAAAGAACTATGTATATTGTGAATTGTAATTGGCTTACTTACTTTAAAATTGTTCATATAATATTATCCATTTTGATTTTATGAATTTGGAAAAGAGAATTACTGTGATAAACTTGTAGCAGGCGATGATTATGAAAACCAATTGAGAAATTATTTACCTATGGTTCTTAAGAAGCAAACTATTGGCAAATAAAACCCTCATTTCCGACTTCGATTCATTACTGAGTGACTGAAACCTTGTTACCTTACAATAAGATCTAGGTACTCCGAGTCCCCATCGTCAGCAAAGCAGTCGCACTCTGCGATTGGAGAATGATTTTTTGATTTATTTATTTACAGTTTTATGTCCGAAATGTTTATTGGAGGTACCTAGAGACTGACGGCTTAGTTCGTCGCCAAGGAAAGCCACGGGTCACAACTGAAAGGCAGGATTGATTCATCGTGACGCCCAGCTTGAGAAATCGTCACCTCCTTTGAGATACAAAACCAACTTTCACGACTTTCATGGAGTATCTGTGAGCGCTCGAACTGTTCGGAGAAGGTTAAAAGAACGCGATATAGTACCACACAAGCCAGCTAATGGGCCCAAACTAACGCGAGCCTGATGAGTCTAAAATTGTATTACATGGCAATGATGGAAGGAAGAAAGACTACCGACGTAAGGGAGAGCGTTTCGCACAATGCTGCTTTGAAGAGAGAGTTATGGCGGTGGCTCATGGACTGTCTGGAGCGGTATATCCGCGAGCGGCAAAACTCAACTTGAGGGTTTTACAGGACCACGGCTGCCAACATTAAATGCTGAAAGGTATGTTCGTAAGTGCTTAGAACCTCACGTGACCTACGCGGACTATGTGGGCCCAAATTTCTTTTTTATGCATGATAATGCAAGAGCCCATGCGGCCGTCTTCGTCAGGGAATACCTTCGGGATGTGAACATCACAGTTATGGACTGGCCAGCCAGAAGCCCAGACATGAACCCCATTGAGCACATGTGGGACGAGCTAAAAAGACGTATTAGGGTTCGTCAGCCAGTTGCCCAGACGATGCAGGAGTTGAAAACTGCCATAGAAGAGGAATGGTAGATGATCCCTCAAAATTTCAAAGAGCGGTTGATAAACTCTATGCCAAATCGTATGAGAGCTGTGGTAGATGCCCATGGAGACAACACGCGGTATTAAATTAAACCTTTATTTGATAAAACATGTTTTTTATTCAAAAATCTATTGCCTTTAACAAGGCGCATATCCGATTTGTTAGGCGTAGCTCCATGTCGTATGGTATTCTGAATTCAAATTTAAAACAACTAAACTGCATCAACAGTTTTTGT